GTATATATATATATATATATATATATATATACACATAAGCCGCCAAGAACTGACGGCAACAATGTAATGTAATTGAACAGCGGACAGAGATAGACGTATTGTTGGGTCGAGCGCGTGTGACGTTCGTTGTGAATTATAGCGTTTGTTTAACTTATAGTGTGACTGTTGAAATTAAGTGAATTTCAAAGTTGTATTGAGAAAGAATAAACTAGTTTTATTTAAGAAAGGACTTGTGTCGCTAAAGTTTCATCGGAAAGAAATTATACGGGAAGTTAACTAACGACCGGAGGCGTAACAAATTGGTGTCAGAGTGGGACAAAAAAAAAATGGAAACTAGAAGTGGCAAATCAAACTACAGCTTAGCAAATTTGATGGCAGCCATACAAGAGCAGCAAAAGAAACAAGAAGAGACAACAGCAGTTGCAAGGAAACCTGCAACAGTGGCAGCTCGAACAACAAAATAAACAAGAAGAGATATTACAACAGTTGTTGGAGGAAAAAAGAAAAGAAACAAGAAGAGAGATTACACCAGTTGTTGGAGGAAAAAGAAAAGAAACAAGAAGAGAAATTACAGCAGTTGTTGGAGGAAAAAGAAAAGAAAGAAGAAGAAGAGAGACTATAGCAGTGGCACCTGGAACAAGAAGTACAAATGGAAAACATTAGTAAATTTCAAAGCGAATTAAATGCATTAAAGGATGATCTATTGTCTTTTACACAAGGAGGATACATTAACCATCGACTTAATCAGTCCCAGACAATGGGAAGCCCTTCCAGACCCCCGCAGCTAAACCCTAATGCAAACATCTTCAGTCCTGTTAGAAGTTACATCCCAGATATGAATGTCAGCAATAGGGGTGATCCAGAACGAAGGAAGTCACAGGAATTCGATGGAAAGCATTTAGAGCACAATTTGAGCTACTGGCAGAAATGAATGGATGGACAGAGGAGCAGAAAACAGTATATCTGGCAACGAGCTTGAAGGGACAACCACTGGAAATACTTGGACAGTTGTCAGCAGACGACAGGCACAACTATAGAGCACTGGTAGCGGATCTAGAACTCAGGTACATAACCCCAAATCAGTCAGAAGTCTACAGGGCTAGGTTCAGGACGAGAGCTAGGTGTAAAATGCCAAGCACACACAGTATC